TGTATATCCTATTTGGAAGTCACTGCTACGGTGTTATCCCTGCTTTTCGAATCAATCGAACCTATATGGATTGACGCTAGGCACATGCCAACCCGGACTGGAACAAGTTTTCAGCCCGAGTCTTGTACTACCTGAACTACTTCGTGTTCGAATCCGTTCAGGGCACGCTCTACACCTTTGGGTGGTCAAGTGTTCACCCACTTCGTCACAATGGTCTTAGCAGCGTCAGCCGCTGCCTTCACGGCCGCCGTGGCCTCGTCAGAGCTTTCTCAGCAGCCTCGGCACGAGCAGCTTCAGCTCGAGCAGCTTCCTCAGTGGCAGCCTTCTGGGTCGCTGCCTCCTGAGCCTCCGCCTTCTCGGCAGCGATCTTCTCAGCTGACGTCTTCTCTGCAGCAGCGGCCTTCTACGCAGCTTTCCGAGCTGCCCCTTTCTCGTCAGCTTTCTTCTTAGCAGCCGCTCTGTCGTCTTGGACGCAGCCGCCTTTGAGGTCGAAGCCTTTTCAGCTGCAGCCTTTACAGCGCGAGCCCGAAGATCGACTGATGGTCAGCCGACCTGAGAAGCACAAGGTGACTTTCGCGGACGCTGGAGAGCGAAGACACTGGCGCTTAGAATTAATTGGAGAAGTAGAAGTGGCTAGTGGAGCGACGACAGAAACTTCGTCGGGTTCGTAATCTGCGCCGGACGAATCGTCAGGGGAATCTTCGCGGTCAAAATCACGACCTCGCTTCAGGCTAGTCTGGGGAGCCATAAGACCGATCAGTTTCTAGTCGATGTCGCCAGACGAGATGCCAGCAGAGGCCAGCACCAGCGAGCCAGTTTCGAGCCCAAGGTTAGCCGAATGCTGCCGGAGGATCCAGTTAGCCCGCTTGAGGCTGCCAACTTCCTTTTCGAGGGCGACGAGACGGATCGGCACGGAGTCGACACCGCCTCCTTCAGCCGACGATTCAACTCTTTCGCCTGAGCGGTGTAGCCGGTGAGGCCAGCCTTGAACCGCTCGCACTCGACTCGGAGCAAATGCAGCGAAGAGGCGGACTCGCTCTCAGCAGCAGCCAACTGTTTCTTGAACAAGTCCAAGACCTCGGCGTGATGGGCAATGGCCCCTTGCGCCAAGTGAAGATGCTTGCTCATGAGGGCGAAATCTTGCCATTCCTTGCACAACATGGAGTCAAGGTCGTTGACCTCGCTGGAAGCCTGGACGCAGAAGACTTTGGTCTTCTCGGTGCGCTCCACTTGCTCTGTGATAGTGCCCTCACAGTCCTTCAGCGCTCCGGAAAGCCGCGTGACCCCGTTGCACAGGCCCACTACGAGGTCGGCCTCGGTGAGGTCGAGCCGACGAGGAGGTCATGCTGCAGACAACACCTCGCTGAGGGTCGTGGCCTCCTCCAGACGTCGGTATAAAGGAATATTGCGGCGAAGCGGGATGTGCGAAAATCTCGTTGACGCAGATCTCAACACCACTGGCGCCCGGACACCGACTAACGAAGGGGGTCCTCCGATGATCCGTGGTCTAGTTGTGTTCTTGCTCACCTTGTGTACCCGACGGCGGGCGGGTTACACTCTCCTGAGTGACTCGTTCGATGTATGTCCGGTAAGGGGGGAACGCAGGGGCTTGAGATAGCGCGGAACGTCTTCTCTCTACTTCGTTTTGGTTGATCTCGGTCGCTGACGGGTCCTTGAGTCGCGATCAAGCTGCCTGGTTGTCGATCCAGACCTTTAGGAGGTCCAAATACGGAGGTCTTGCTCCTTCCTTGTTATGCTTGCCACTTCCTATAGCGGGGAACTTGTTGGGTCGGGATCCGATGCAATCGTCAGGCCAAGCAATCAATGTCTTCCGATCAACAATAAACACTTGAGGACAAGTCACTAGGTAGGGCAAAGCTGGCCAATATATTATCCAGTCTTAACCGCTACGCTAGATCCTATGTCCTTACCGTCTGCGCGCTTGAGGGGCCAAACTAATCCCTGAATCCACGCGAAGGCGGACACTTATGCAGCTTAGAGCAAATTTGAGTCTGTTTACTTTTATCCCTATGTCCACTAACACATCCTCAGCTGCTTTCCTACGATCACCTGAGATTTGGATACATATCTTATCTTGGGATCGGCGATCGCGATCGGCGATCACGATCAGTGATCTCGATCTCGATCGGAGTGTCCGGCCTGTGATCTTGAGTAACCTCCTGGCCGCCGTCGCGCGGTGATCTTCGTCGCTGCTGCTCATCCTGGGGGCACATGACGGCTGACTCCCGGCGATCTCGTCCCGCCTCCTTCTCAGGGCCCTGGATCACCATCTTGCCTTGACCCGGGATCGCCTTCACCTCGCGTATCTTGATCGGTGATTGACATGGCCCAAACGCAGCCATTCTCCCTCGATTGCTGTCCGCTGGCCCGCTATAATTCTGGATCATCGGTCGACAGCGACTCCTGTCCACAAATTTCCCTTGATCCACTATTCTCACGATACGATATGGGTATGTCTCCATCCATCATTCCATCGGGTTGATCTTGGATCATCTGTAGTCGACCTTGGGTCATCCGTAGTCATCATCGATCACCGATGTTGTCGCACGTTGGATCTTGGGGAGGTGACTTGATGTCTTGGTCTGGAGTGGGATTTCTGTCGCCTGGTCCGTCTCTATATCGCGATCTGGCAGCCGAGGTTGCTTTTCTCGCAAGATCTTGATCGCACTTCACACATCCGCCCTCAGCCTGCAAGTTGGACCGTCCTGGTTCACTTCAGGTCTCATTCCACATTTCGCCAACTCGGACAAACTCTTCTTCACTCCTCCGCCAGCGATCTCCATGAGTCAGACCGGAAGCGACCCCGGGAGTCCCCCAATCCCGACTCCTCCCGACTCTCCACAGTCCACCGCAAGCAACCTGTCGCGACACTCCACTATTTTGTGTCGCTCGTGCTCCCACACCTCCGATCGGGATCGGCGGTTAGCTACCCTGGAGGGCGAGCTCCGCCAGAGCAACCTCGCACGGGATCGCCTCGTCCGCGATCGAGATCATCTCGATCTGCAAGTCCGCCAGCTGCGATCCGACGTCCGGCACATGAAAGTGTTCGAGCACGGCCAGCGAGACGAGATCACCCGCCTAGAGGCCGAGATCGCGACTCTCACCCACGGCGCCGGTGACGATCCTGAAGGTCTCCGCGCCCATGTTCTCCAACTTCACACCCAGCGTAACGACTTCACATGATTTCCGCCACGAGGATCTTCATAATACCGAGGCAGATCGCGATCGGCTGCGCCAGGAGGCTTTCCAGGCCCGTGACGAGATCCGGGACTTGCAGGAGCAGGTCCGCGGCTTGGAGCGTGAGACCGACGACGCGAGGTACGAATCTGCCACCGCTCTCGTCAGTTACAACCGGATCTCTTCCAGCCTCGCCCATCCGCAACCAGATCACGGAGTAGGATCACCCCTTGGAGGTCCTACCCCCTTGGCTCAGGTACACCGAGATCGCACATTGGTCGATCTTGCACTCGCCCGTGCTACCCTGACGCAGGTCACCTCCGATCGAGATCGTGTCTTCACACAACTCGCACAGGTCACCGAGGATCGGGATCGTGCGCTTTCCGATCGCGACACAGCCCTCCAACACCGTAATCAGACGATTAATGAGCGCGATCAGGTCCGCTTAGATCTCTTCACCGAGGTTGCTCGCGCCGCCCAGCAGGACGATGATCTTGAAGCGATTCGCCTGGAGCTTCAGGGATGGGGGGTAGGATGACGGATCTCCAGCTTGACCAACTCGGTGAATTGCGGGATCTGGCCGCAAGTGACCTGTCTGAGGCCGATCTGCTCCTCAGGCATCTCGCTAGCCTAATCCGATACAGCCAAGCGGCGCGGATACCAAAGCGTGATCGAAGTCCACCACGTTCTCCCCAATTACCGCCTCTCAAGACGCGTCGCAGCGATCGGACCATTTCTCTGCCGCCCGATCAAGGTCCGGAGAGTGAGGAACTCGAGAATAAATGCGAGATCCGAGGCGGAGGTGGAGGCAGCCCGGGTGATGACAATCCATCGTCGCCAGATCATGGTCCCTCGACGCCTCCCTCCTCACCCCACGGGTCTCCCGGGGGATATCCAGGTGGTCGTTCCCCTGGTGGTGGCTCGCCTCTCCAACTGGATCCGCCGTTATTTCCGGCCGAGGCGAGTATTCCCCGATATTCCACAGTCAAGATATTCATAGCAGCCGAGATCACCCCGTGGGATCCAGCTATAGTGGGAACTGTGCCGATCGTCGCCATGATTAAGGCCACTTTGACCAAGAGGTTGCCGATCCCGCCCGGTTTCCTGTTCCCTGTTCGGACACCTTTGTTCGGGCGCCCACCCGTGACTGGTTACCGTTCTGAACTGATCACTGGTGCCAACGTGTTGGTCTGATGGCCGCGGAGCCGTGGCGCTTGCTCCGACAGAATCTTCCCACTCCGCTGACTTTCGATCACAACCTCCACCTGCGGGCTGGCACGCCTCTATGGCGGATCGCCGTATCGTATGCTGCCCTGGAGGAGGATCACCCTATCGCGTATTAGGAATCGTCTCATTTCCTTGAGATCACGAAAGCGATGGCCGCCGCGGACTGTGATCTCTTCATCTACCACAAGGATCGACGTCAGCGACGCATCCGCGTTGGGGAAAGTTGGCGGAAACGGGTGGGAGAGTGCCTCCTAATGATAAGGAGTCAGTGGGCGGGTATCGACGTCCTGCTGGATCCCTATTTCCTCCACTTGCCGACAACCCGGGATTGGGTACGCTGGTACCCCGGATCGGTCTCCAGGGCGGCCAATCTCACGCAGCCAACCGCGAATCTCCCTTAGCCGACCGACCTGATCACGGCTCTGTTCGAGTGCGACCAGGCGGACCCTTGGCGAAACCATTACAGCGATCCCATTACCGCTCACCCATCGCTCCAGATCCCTCGTCTCGCGAACAAGTTTAACCCTCCTGCGGTCCCTTGATCGTAGATCCGACTTCACACCAGGAAAGTTACCGTGATCTCCACTCTCCATCCCGTGATCGCGATTCCTTCTTGTCGATCCCATAATTTTAATTTTAGCCACATCTTCTGCTTGTTTGCTCTATTCGTCACTCCTCCTAAGGATCTCTCTTCAGACTCACCATGGCTTCCGTGATCTCTTGCAAAGGTTTCCATATGCACATATACAACATGAATTCCTGATCTCGGTCTTATCCGACCTATACTTCCTCGGGATCGAGACGATCAGGCAATCTCACCCCGTCTTCCTTACTCTTCTTCATGCGATTGCATCACACTGCAACGATTACGATTCGCTCGTTCGGGCAGGAAGACGTTCAGTATCGCTCCGCAGTTGAGATCGGTTTCGTCGACCCAGGTCGGTTCGTCATAGCCTACCCAATCCACCAGCAATTCTCGGTAGATCCTACCGAATCGCGTCTACTTCCCACTCCGTACATCCGAGATCCGCTCGACCTCGTACTCGTCGGCTCCGAGATCTGGGACCCAGCTGTCCTCCGGAAGCAGGATCTCATCGAAGTCAACGCAATCTGATTCGTCCACCGTGAGTTCCGTTCGTGGCCGATCCGGGAAGTCCTTGACCAATTTTAGCTTGGACACGTGAACTACTGGAAAGATCTGGTACCTAGTACACGCAATCTCGAGCTTGACGCTGAATTCGTTGATCGTTTCGGCCACCCGGAATGGCCCATGCCACAGGTGAGCCAATTTCCGCGCGTATCCTTCCTTCACCCGGTCTAGGTATAATCAGACGCAAGATCCTGCCTCGAGCTGGTGTGATCTAACGTCTTCATTATTTTGGCTGGCCCGAACTGCGATGGCTTCCCTCAATCTGGTGTTGACTTGTTTCCGGGACTGCTGATAATATCGCTGGACTCGATAACACCACCGCCGCGCGTCTCGAACGCGCCGTCTGGAACATCCGACTGGCAGTGTAGCCTCCAGCGTCGACCTCGGATCCCACCTCATAGACCAGATAATGAGAGGTATCCCCTCGGATCCGATCGTGGGCCGTGTTGATCGCGAAGGTAAGTCGCTCGGCATACTCATCCCAATCCTTCTGATCGAGATCGCGAACGTACATCTTGAGCGCCCTGGTTGCAGTCTAACCATTCTTTCGGCGGTCCCGTTAGCTTATGGCCGCTCGCTGCTGTTGTCCCAGGATCTTGTTAAACGCCCGGAAGAAGTCGGACACGAACCCGGGTTCTCGATCATGTCGGATCATCTCGCTGGCACCGAATCGCCAAAATACGCACTCTTCGTACGATTCCGCAACCGTCTGGGCCGACCGGGACGAGCTAGCTTTCGCGATCACGTATCCCGTGAACAGATCGACCCAGATCAACAACTCTGTATTCCCCTTGTAAGATCTGGGCAGCGACGGTATGTGATCCATCGCAATGGTCTAGAACGGGTATGTAGCCTGCAAGTTCCCTGAGATCACGGATTTTCCTTTTCACGTTTCGCAGTCCACTCATTCCCCCACATATCGCTGAACACTCCGATATAATCCTCTCCAGTAGAAGTGATCCCTGGTCCGCTGGTAGTCTGATCCGCTGGTAGGTACGCCCCACTCTCTGATGTCCTCCTTCCAACGTAGTGTGATAGTGGTGTAAGACGTCCGATTGCAGCATTTCAGAAACTACCAGATTCAGCAATCGATCGCATCATCCTCCGATCTCGGCGTGGGAGGGCAGTAGAAGAGTAGATCGTGCTCGTCC